AAAATTTTTAGTAAATGTACTGAGTTGAACAGTTTTAGAACTTCCCATCACCCCAATAAGATGCCTCATGCTCCCAGCCCCAGGTGACCACTGATCTGTTTTCTCTCTATATAGATTTGCCTTTTTTAGCCATTTCAAGTAAATGGAATCACACAATATGTGGTTTTTTGTCTCAGGCACAGCATAACATTTTTGAGCACTTTGTACCGTTTCGGTGGGTCAGCTGGTGAGACTCAAATAAGATCTGGAGATCGGCTTGATGGTACCATATCGACGTTCCTCTCTTGGTTTACATAATGGAATTACCCTTATATAAGATTTTAATACTGGAGGAAGCTGGGTGAAGGGTATATGGGGAGCATGTACTGGTTTTGCAATGTTTTCATAAACCTAAAATAATTTCAAAATAAAAATTTTTTCAAGCTCACGGTCCGAGCTGTGCACTGCTCATGATGATGGTCTAGTGCTCAGAAGCTCCGACCTCTTTTCTACGCTACGGCCCTGCTGACCGGTCTACCTTTCAGACGTCCCTGGTGAGTGGGCGTCTGGCGGCTCCTCAGGGCCTTGTGGGGGCTGCAGTAACAAAGGGCACCCGCAGGGGCTGGGGAGGAGCTTTCACGTCCTTCCTGATTGCTGGTGTCTCCAGGGCTGGCCAGGAGGACGGAGGCTGGAAGGCCTGAGCCTGGAGGCCCTTGCCTGGCCCCTGTCTGCGGGAGCTGGCTCAAGCCCGGGCCCTCAGAGGCTGAGCAAGCTCAGAGGGAGGGAGGTGGGGACCCAGGGACCTGAGGAGGCTGCAAGCGGAGACCCACTCCCCCGTCCTGGACATCTGCCCAGGGACTTCCTCAGAAGCTGCCGATGTCAGGCCTCAGCTTCCTGTTGCCACGGCTGAGGGGACGAACTCGGTCTGGAGGCTGTCCAGGCCTCGGAAAAAATGAGAGCTTGGCAGAGAGGAGGGCCTGGGCTCGAGCAAAGACACATGGACACACGGCCCGTGCACCGGCCCACGGCACTCGAGCACCGAGAGACACGTGGGTGTGTAACAGGACTGATGGGCACACAGGGCACACAGACACGCACGGTGCACGTGGGCACCAATGCCAACGCCAATGCCTGTGGTAGCCCGTGTCCCACCCTCCAGGCAGGCCTGGCCGGGGCAGCAGGGGCCGCAGTCAGGGCAGGTTTCAGGGAGGAAGGTGACTCCATGGGCAAAGACGGGGCGGAGGACAGCGATGCTTTGCTCCCGGGCACTGTCTCCGCGTCCCTGCTCAGGAGGCATTCGCTACTGCAGCTCTTGGTGTAAAGTTAGGGCCGGGTGATGGGGGGAGGGGTTGGGGGAGCCCAGCCGGCACCACGCCCTCGGTCTGGGTGCCAGGGGCAGAGCTCCCAAGGCCCCTGTGGCCCAGGACCCGACCCTGCCCCCAGCACCTGGCCTCACCCAGCTGTGCCCCTCTGTCAGTCTGGCTCTGCCCCCACCGACAAAAACCCACCTCAAGCCCACTCAAGCCAAAAGCAGAAGCGGCATCTCACAAAGCTGGGAAGGCTGAGCCGCCCAGAGGAGCGCTCCAGGCCAGTGGGCCCAGGTCCTCAGCCACCTCTCTCCTCTCTGCACAGCCCAGCCCTCTGGGGGTCCATCCTCCCAGGGAGGCCAGTGGCCAGCAGCCCTCAGTCGTCTCCCTCCCCGCCCCGAGCTTCCTGTCCCAGAGTTTCCAGAACTGCACCTCACTGTCTGGAGTCAGCCTTGGCTCACGCGTCCATCCCACAGGCCTGAGCGTAGGGAGGGCCGGGGCCTCAGGAAGGCAGGGCGGGGGGTGTTACCCCAGGGCATGCTCGGCAGCCACAAATGGCAGGTGACTATTCTGGGGTCAGAGGCCCATTAGAGTGATGGGTTTGGCCTTCCCAAGTGGGCTGACCCACTCTGCCAGCCGGGAGGCCTGTGGCAGGCGCTGTTGCCATGGCAGGATGGCCCTTGTGCCGGAGGCCGTGCGAATTGAGACTGGTGGGCATCAGGTTTCCTGGAAGGAGCAAGAACTTGGTGGGGCCCAGTGTCGCTGGGGGGCGGCGGAGGGGGAGGGCTTAGACTCCATTCTGAGGCCACAGGAAGGGTCTGGGCAGGGGAGGGTGCAGTCAGACTTGCATGTGACAGAACAGCCCAGGCTGTGGGCAGGGACACAGATAATGTGTGTGCACGCGGTGGGCGGGGAGGCAGGGCTGGGAGTCCACCCCGGGACCAAGGGGAGGTCTGAAGAGCCATCTGGGACCTGCCAAGGGTGCAGAGCCTGTGAGACGCTGGGCGTCGCTGCAGCTGGGCTCGCCCGGGGGTGGATGGCGCAGGCTCTGTCGGCACAGGGCGAGGCACGGATGGGACAAGAACGACTGGGGGGAAGTGGCCAGGCTGACCCCAGCTTGCTGCTGTCCCGTTCCCAGGCCTGGTTTCTGCCCTGCTGGGCTGGCCAGCTCCCCAGCTCCGTGCGGGCGTGGTCCCCTCCCCCGCACCACTCCACAGAGACAGAGCCGGAGGCGGGGCGGGAGAGCCAGAGAGCACGGAGGCCATTCTTCCTCTCTTGGGCCAACCTCTAAGCAGCAGGAGATAAGAGCGCTCCAGCTGGCCCTTCCACACTCCAGCTTGGGCCCGCCAAAGCCACCAACGCCATGAAGGACGACGTGGCTCTTCTGGCCACCGTCACCCTCCTGGGAGTCCTGTTGCAAGGTGGGCTAGCTCCTGTCTGGGAAGTGGGTGGGTCTCAGACCCCTGTCGCCTACCTTCTGCCCACCAGTCCCTGGGGAAGTGCTCAGGCAGAGGGCAGAGGTGGGGCCTCTAGCCCAGGCTCCAGTGCCAAGGCCCAAGCCCCTCGGAGCTCGGCCAGCACAAAGACACCTGGAGGAGGGCAGCGGCCTTCGGGTCCGGGTGGGGCATGCGGCTGTGTGAGCCGCAGGACGTGGGGAGCAGGAGGGTACCAGGGAGAAGGGTCAGACGGCCATGGGCCTGGGGCAGCTGGTCCCTGCCCTCTCCAGCTGCCCTGTCTCTGGGCGTCCCAGCAAGCAGCCTCCATCCCTCAGCCCCGCCTTCAAAGGCGCCCTCCACACTGGGGCCATGTGGAGCTGGACGGGGTTGGAACACGCTCTCCCAGCCCCACAGAAGGTGCCAGCTCCGTGCTTTCCCAGACTGGGCTAGAAGACATACTCCTGGGCCAGATATCTGTGTGGCTTGGGGACACCACTGCCCCACAGTGTGGGCTAGGACGAAGCACAGCCTCAGGCGGGGGCCCCGAAGTGGCAGAGCAGAAGGCGCACTTGACCACCAGCACTGTGCGGCCTGGCCACCCCTCGGCACTCGCGTACGTCTGTAGATGGCCTGGCACCAAAGGCACCAGGGCCACAGGACTCACCGGCAGACAGGCGGACACAGCACTGGGGGGTGTGTGTGGCCCAGCGCAGAGAGGAGGGCCCTTGCTCCCACACAACCTTGAAGGCCGGCCCACCCCTGCGCCTACCCGTGTCGCAAGGGAAGCTGGCAGAGCCCTGGGGCCCTGGAGTGCAGCGGGGAGAGTTCCAGCTGCAACCACCCGGGAGCAGGAGAGAGGGGGTCTGTCGGATTTAGGCCTGGGTCCAGAATGCCTGAACAGAGGAACTGAGGCAGGACCCCACGTCACAGTTTGGAGGCACAGGGACCCAAGTTTGAGAGACTTTGGCCTGGGTCCCTTCTGGTGGGCTCTGTAGGTGGGTGACCAGGGACCACAGGGTGGTGTTTCCTGCACCCTGAGCGATGCAGCCAGTGCTGTCTTTAGGCAGGGGTGGCGCTTCCTGGCCAGGGACTCCGGAGCTGAGGCCTATGTCTGGAGAGCAGGAGCCGCCTATTTGCCTGTGTTTTTCAAGTCAAATGATTCCGGGGCAAAGTCTCACGTGGCCCTTCCTGCGGCAGGTGTCCCTGTGGCTGTGTCGCCCTCCCCCCCACACTCCCAGGGTGGCCAGGGTGGGACAGGGCCTCTCTCACCCCCAGCCTCAGCCCTGCCCCCCCACGTCGAGCGCCCGAGGGGAGTCTCCACCCCTGCGCGGGAGCTGGAGGGCGAAGCCGGAGGAGGGAAAGTGCAGGGCCAGCATGGAAAGGCCCCGCGGGCTGACTCCCCCTCCGCCGCAGCCTACTTCTCCCTGCAGGTGATCTCGGCGCGCAGGGCCTTCCGCGTGTCGCCGCCGCTCACGACCGGCCCACCCGAGTTCGAGCGCGTCTACCGAGCGCAGTGAGGCGCGGCGGGCTGGCGCGGGCGGGAAGCGAGCGGGCCGGGGCGGGCCGGGTCCTGGACCGGCCCGCTGGGCGTCCTCATCCCCCCGCCCCGCCGCAGGGTGAACTGCAGCGAGTACTTCCCGTTGTTCCTCGCCACGCTCTGGGTCGCCGGCATCTTCTTTCACGAAGGTCTGGGCGCGGGGCAGGGGCGCCCTCGCCGGAGCCCCCTGCGGCCCGGCGGGCGTGCTCACCCGCGCCTCTCGCAGGGGCGGCGGCCCTGTGCGGCCTGGCCTACCTGTTCGCGCGCCTCCGCTACTTCCAGGGCTACGCGCGCTCGGCGCAGCTCAGGTGAGCACCGGGGCGGGGCTCCGCCGAGCGGGAGCGGGTGGGCGGGCCGTGGCGGCGGCCGCGGGGGTCCCGGGCGGGCTGGGGGCGGGGCCTGGACGGCGGGGCGGGGCCGGGGGCGGGGC